TTTGGTAGAGAAGATCGGACAGATTTCGCCAAGGCAAGCTGGGCAGTCGCCTATTGCTCCTATTCCAGATAACCCACTGTACCCTGTCTGAAAGGAAGTAACGCTAGAGTAGACTCGCGAAAAGTGTATAAGACACTTTTAAGATCAACTAAATAGCTAAGCCCAAGGGAAGTCGTTCGGGGAGGCCCTCCCTAATTCCACAAGGGTGAGAAGAAACACACACGATAACGAAACGTTGAATCATGTAGAACTCGTAGGGTAAATGCAAAGCAAATTAGGAAGAATATGCAGTAAGCTAAGCGAAGAGGTAAGCACGGTTAGACTATACTACAACTACTAAACGTGTTAGTAAATACTACTACTACATTACTACTATTACAAAAAAATAATAAAAACATCTACAATCAACAATTACTTGAGATAAAATCAACAAAAATAAGCATGCAAATAAAAAACTAATTCAAATTAACTACAAAAAAAACACGCAAAATAAAAAATTAATCTGAATTTGGACTAAAAGAATTATTTCTATTAGGTACAGCATGCAAGACAAAAGAACTATTTTAACTACGGGGTCTTCTTTGTCTTCTCCAACGTCGATCTGAAACAGATACGGTGGTAACAGATTAATAAAGAGCAATTAATAGTAATTATATTAAATACTCTCACCTTAGCAAACAGTAGACTACTGTAAACTTCCCAAGTTTGCATGTGTGAAAAGCAAACTAAATCCAGAAGGAATATCATAGCAGAAACTTGTTTCAGTGAAATTCATATAAATCTCCTCTGGCTCTCACTCATCTGTTGAAAATTAACTGCATAATGTTGCAAGTTGAAGACGAAAACAGCAAATCAAGACAAGACATTGGCTGTTTCAATGCCATCAATCTGAACTTTAATTCTTCCTTTCTCACCATTTGGACGATCTGCAGAGACGGACAAAAAAAAATATTAAAAATTGGTCTGAGCACATTTTGGTCGGTGCTAATACGACTAACTTCCCATTAGATAATACAGTTATTGTAAAGTACATTCGTTTCTAAAGTTTGAAAAAAACGCGGCACAATAATAAATAACAAACAATGTTTGAGAGTTCGTCATTTTATAAACCCATAAGAAACAGTATTTCGTCTGAGAAAACCGAATTGATAGAGTACTTGCATCAGTCAATTGGTAAATACTATTTTTTATTGTTTATCGATTGTTTATAACAATTCATTTTGTTATAAACAAATTTTTATTATAATATGTTATTATAATATGTTATTCCCTGTCTTGAATAATGATATTTCGTTATTATTGATTCCGTAACTTCATTGTTGTGATTAGATTAGAACGTATTTTAATTAAATTGTTTGTAATTAATTCGTTTTTTTNTGTCTATATTGAAGAAAAAACAAAACAAGTCGTTAAAACCTAATCTACAGAATACCAAAGTAATAAACATTTTTCGCGGAGTGGTCACACTAATACGAAAAATCTGCAATCATCGTCTAAATTCGTTTTTAAAATTCAAGAAATCTAACACAACCTTAATTATTCGGCCTCAAATAAACTAAGAATCTATAAAATTCATAGTAGATAGTCAAGTTGCCAAGATGAACCCTCCTGTTGGAGCACGAAATCCATGTCAACGAAAAAATCATTTACACCAAAATAAAGTAAGCAACTCTAATCGATACCGCTTAATACATTATTGATAGAAGCATATTTCACACAATCAAATGAAAAGCGAATAAAGATTAGGGCGATTAGGGTTAAATACCTGCAAGCACCGTTTCGACTCCTAAAAAGCAGACCAGCAACGTAATAACTCGGCAAGGTTAACAAGTTAACATGTGAAATGACATGAGACGACCATAGACAAGAGACGACAGGCGAAAGACAATTGCAACACCCATAGATGAAAATGATTTTCATACTGTGGATGCATAGATAATAGATTCTATAGGTGCGTTCATATATACTAACTCAATTTAATTCGTAAGTAGAAACTCATCATCCGCAATTAAACTAACGGCATATTTTATTTATCTATATCTATTTGTAAGAATTTAAGCAATATTTCCAAATAAATTTATTAAAATTAACATTCCTTTGAATAAATGATTAATATTTATGATTAACTCATATATGTATTACATATATGCATCAACTGTTGTTTACTGTTTTGGGGTTATATTTACATTTTGTTTCTGTTTTTTTTAAATACAAATACAACAATTTATTTAAAAGGCAAATTTAAAAGTGAAGTTTTACATTGCTTTAGATATCCTTTTTTTGTCGCAAGCAAACTGCTAGTTACCTGTTCATGCACAAGAATTAAACGAACCTTTATAAAGTTATTAATATATTAAGTGATTAAATATTAGTTGAAGAAGTTTGTAACAGTCAGCCAAAAGTAAATTATTTCAACATTACCACGGGAAGTATAGTAAATTGTGTACTTATAGTACTTAATTTATTTCCTTGCATTTTTGAAAAAATGTTTTACGTAATTTTGACCTAACAACATTAACCATATTTTAACCTTCTTAGTGTGATCTCCAAATAAAAGTTCTTATCAACTGCCTCCATATTTGTTATTAGATCTCCTCATTTTTGCATTTTTTAGTATGGAACTACACAAAAGATGCATTAGTTTACAAATGCAATAAGTGATGACAGATGTTGATGTTAAACTGAATTTGAGAGAAGTATGGAGCATGAGAAGGCATATGGACTGACACCAGGTGTACATATTTATTTCTTCATAATAAATTAATAATTGATTTTTGTTTACTATTTAAACTGATTGATCAACGATTGAGAGAGCTTTGAAAAACTGAAACAACTTCATCTTGCACATTGTAGAGATGATTTCTTCAGTTAATTATTAACCTATGAGTGAAGATACATTGAAAATTACTTGTATTTAAATGTCAACACTATGGTAGTTCCTTCCACTCTGTTGGTTGATTCTTTTATTGCTGACTTCTTCACATTTGGACTATACCTACATTCTTCAGTTACTTAAGGTGAGAATATATTCACCCCTATTAAAAATTGCTGTCTAATACTTAATTACTAACCTATCTATTTAAGATAAACCTTGGAAAAGACAAGGAGGACCCCGCAGTTTTTCATTTCCTTTTTGTCTGAATTAATTATTAATTTTGCATGGTTATATATGAACTTATTTTTTATTTTGCCTTCTACGTGATTCGACGTTTCATAATCGTATTCTATTCTTCTCAGCTTTGTAGGAGGAGGGTGGGCCGACCCGAACAAATCTCGATAGCCTTAGCTTTTTAGTTGTTCTTTAAGTATTTATACACTTTTCGCAGTCTACTCTTGCGTAAAGTCTAGGCTACGAGATATCTGGAATAGAAGGAATAACCAATTGCCCAGCTTGCATTGGAAAAATCTGTCGTAACTTCTCTACCAAATCGATTGGTCATTTCCGTTAATCGTGTTAATGTTCTATCCTCTTTCAAATAATATGGCATTTCCTAAGAAGACTAAAGACATCGTATACTGTACTTGTTTTTTTATTGTTTTCTTTGGAATTTCATTTGCTTCTTTCTATCTTTTACCGGTATTTCGTCTTTTACTTTATATTTATTATTCACGCACATGTTCATATGTTTTATGATTAGTCAATTGAGTCAAATGCGAATATTGTAATTTTATGTACAATTTATTTAAGAATATAGAATGCAAAATGTTTAGGAACATAATGCATAATCTAAATTTACTAAGATACAAGTTTGTTTAATTGTGCCACTCAAGCTATCACATGTAAGTTTCGTTATACATAGACTTACTTTTCATGGCATTTGACTAAAATTTTTCTTAACATAAAAAATGTACGAATGTATAATATGACTTTTACTATCAGTAATCAATGACAAAGCTAACATGGCTATTAAAAATGAACTTTACTACTAAAGTACATTTAATGAACTAGCTCAAGTTTTGTTTAGGTGGTTTTGTAAGCTTGTTAGGAGCTATAGTTTCAGATTTATGTAATTACCTATGTAATCATAAATTGCGTTGGAAATATATTAGGTAAAAGATGAAACAAAACAAATACTTTTTTAATTAAATGGTCAAACACTTAACAATTACAGTGATATTATTCTTACCACATAAATAGTTTAAACAAGTTAAATTTAGAAGTGAATTTTACGCCGTCTTAGGTATCGTCTTGGACAATATTTAATTTCAAAGACCTATATAATATGGCCATTATTTAAGACAGCATACAATTTTCCAATTGTCACTAATTTGAAGTAATTGCGTTACACTGTCGTTGTTATTCTTAAGAACATCAGTCCAACAGTTTACGCGTGTTTCAGTGTACTTATTTTCGTTTCCGAACGATTTTGTTAAGGAAGCAAGGTGTTAAAAATTTAAGAAAAACAAATGGAAGAAATGGATGCAGACAGATATTTCGATGTGTTTGATTACATTATGTTCGCCTTAATGCTATTGATTTCGGCGCTGATCGGCGTGTATTTTGCTTTCTTTTCAAAAATTAAACAAAACACTACCACAGAATATCTCATGGGAGGAAAAACGATGGGAATTTTTCCCATATCGATGTCTTTAATTGCGAGGTAAGTTTATTTATGCGATTTCCTTTTGTGACGTTCCTTTTCTTTATAACTTCGATCTTTTCGTTTAGCTTTTTTTGGAGGAGTTTTGGAAAAATCTTCAGACGAACTGCTTTCTTTTAATGTATTTTCCTTTCTGCAGCCATTAAGTAATTTTTTTCTATATTTATGAACTTCATCTTCTACGGAAGTATTTGGTTCCAATTTTATTTTTCCCGATTCAATCTTGTCTTGATACTGCATAACTTTGAGCTCAATTTTACGTAACATTTCGCGATCTTTTTTAGACTGTTCTTTTGTAGTACTTAAAAGTTTGCGTTCCATTTCCAAATAATAAAACTTTTCAGTAGACATCGCTTCAGCTTCCACCTGTTCCGGATCAACCGTTTCCCACTTTGAAGGGATAAATCCAGAAGGCATACCCTTCTTTTCAGATGCATTTGCTGTGTTATCAACAGTTGCTGTTTTATTTAGAAATTTTTGAGGGTAATTTTTCATTGATCGTTTTAGCAAATTGGCCCCATCAAGTGGTTCGTCGGTGTCGTTGTCAGATTCTTCTTCTGTTTTATTATCATGAGGAATCCCTAAAAATACATACTCCACTTTGTTCAAAATATCATTTGAATATATTTTAAACAGTGCCCATGCACGAAGAACTTTAATCACTCTTAATTTGAAAGCATCTTTATCTGCTATATTTTTCAAACTGGAAAGAGTTAAACGTAAATTTTCAAATATGTTTACCAATTCATTTTCAAATTCAATGGAGTAAATGTTACGGAATTTTTTAATGGTCGTATTACACATTATGTCTGACAGCAAATATAATCTTGCTATTTTTTTAGTTGCTTTTGTATTTTTATTCTTGAATGAATCAGTTAACATATGTTTAATATCTTTTGCTGCTTCTATATGATTTATACAAAAGACCATGGCTTCTCCAATTTTCAGTTTATTAAAATCTAAATTTTGGAGAATTTGATTAAATCTTGTAGCTTGAGCGTCTGACAGTTGCTTTTTGTCATCTTTAAAGTCAGTGTTAATTAAGTTTGCCGGCATTCCTTGAGTATAATCAGGAGTAACTGGTGGTATCCAAATCGGACCATCTTTGAACATGCGAAAATTTTCCTTTGACCAGTTTTTAAGATTTTCCCCATGAAGAACAGAGTACAGTTTCCATCTATAGTAAATGTGCACGGGACTTTTATTATCAAACAAAAATTGAAACGCAGGGTTGTTTATTTCTCTATTCATGATTATTGCTTCAAAAAAAGGACCCTCCCGGACAACAAATTCAACCATTCTATGAACCAAAGAAAGTAATTTCTTATCTAAAGGTATTGTAACTTTTACCACAGATGTATAAAGAAGTTGGTCAACTTCCTGTTCAGTTGTAGGCATTTTATAATTTGTCTTTAATGGTTGGGCATTGAAAGGAAGACCCGTGTAAGGAGGTGGGTAAGAGAGTTTTAGAAGTTCTGGTGGTACATAAATAGGATTTGGTGGTATTTCTACAGGTTTTCCCCATCCAACGCGCATGTCGTCTCTATTTTTCAAATTTTCTAAAGCCCTCTCTCCATCTTTTCTACTCATAAAAGCAACAAAACCACAATTGGTGTTGCGATACCTTTCTTCACCTCTAGGCCACATTATTTTAACACTAGCCAAAGGCCCATACATCCCAAATAACTGTATCAAATCCTTTTCTGTGTATTTTGGATTTAAATTCGATAAAAATAAATTCGTTGTAGTCGAATCACTCCCATCACATACTTCCATCCCAGTAAAAACATCTTCTTTCTGTTTATATTTTTCATCTCTATGCATGTGTCTTATTTCTAATTCTTCTTTTAAAAGTTCCAAGTTCGTTTTAGGTTTATGTTGTCCTTTTATTCTTTCAATTTTTGTTTCTTTCACAAGTCGAGCACATTCAATAGCATTTTTAACAGTTTGATCAGTTTGAATTTTCGAAAATGGTTGAGGATTGTAAATGGTTCCTTTCAGAGAATTCAGTTCTTGTTCTGTATTTGCTTTCAAAATGCTGGAACGTACGAATGTTTTGCATGGTAACGTCGAATTATTTTGAAATTCTCTAATAAACTCTTGAAATGCAAATGCAGTGGCTTCCTCTTCTTCTTTGATTTTCTTTTCAATTATCTTTTTTGACATTTTCTTAGCTATTTGTAGACCTTCGCTAAAGCAACTTCAAATGTTTAAACAAGTCATTGAATATACAGCACTATTACAGCCTACTTTATATATTATGTATTTTCTAAGTCTTACTGTTTATCGCTTAATCATATTAGTTAAAGAAAATATTTGTTATCGTATATTGTGAAAAAATAAATTTGCCTTTTGGTTCGGGCGCCAAAGGTATCGAGAATGATGGTCAATTGGAATCAGACGAAATTAGTCTTACGATTAAAATTAAGATAAAAATATATGAAATTAGGTACGCATTATTTTTTTTATTGCTAAATAATTCTGAAGTAGTTTTCTTTTCTGGTTTTGACTGAATAACTCGAATACTACCGCTTCTACAGAAAAATGTTCTATACAAAAGTTATTTAGATGGCGATTATAAACATTAATTACGCATTTTAAAAAATTAAATAAGACCAATTTCGTCTCGTTCCAATCGACCACCACTTTTTGCATTTTTTTGTGTCTGGCGCCCAAACTATTTGTATTTAACAAATCATAGTTTGAAAAGGGAAGAAGTTTTAAAATATGAATTTATAGAACTTTTTTACCGTTATTAAAATTGTCTTTTTTTGTTATATAGGTACCAGATAAAAAAGGAAAATGTTATTACATGACCGTGACAATAATTTAGTGCTCTCATTGTTCTTATTCAGTGTAATTATTTATAATTTTGAATAACAGCTTAAATTAGTAAATTTGATCTTATTTACTAGCGTCTGTCTACCAATTCATTTAATAAATTTCAGTTGCTTGATGTATGTTAATTTTCAGTTGGTATATTATATGAGATTCTACAGGTAAAAGATACAAGGTGTTAAGAAATTATTTATATCATAATAATAACCGATACCAAAAATTCAATAGATTTAATTGAAATGGTTTTGAAAACAACTTTAATGTGGAGTAGCTATCATAATTTTCTAGAACTAAACGCTTTATAGTAATATTCTGCTTAAAAACTGAATAACAGTACTTCATCTTATTAACAAATGCTTAAAATTCTAATGTAAATGAGGGATAACTAAAATTTTTCATATATTTCCTGAAGTAAAATAATTGATTGTAAATTAGTCTTTATTTTCATTGTAATTAAATTTCCTTTTGCAGTTACATATCCGGTATAAGTATATTGGGAATTCCGGCAGAAATATACACATATGGTACTCAATTTTGGATGACCGTCGGTTCAGAAGGATTCGTGGCTATAACCATGGCATATGCATATTTACCAGTATTCTACAACCTTCAAATTACATCTAGTTACGAGGTATTCAATTTTTTGTAACTTATTTCTTGTTTTAATTTCGCAGATTTTAGTATTTAAACTTGAGATTCAACCAAACTGTGCAACTGCTAGGATCCATATTATTTCTTACCAAAATGTTACTTTACATTCCCATTGTAATATATGTTCCAGCTCTAGCATTTAGCCAAGGTATAAAATTCAATGTTTCAATTTTATTACTTTTTTATTTTAAAATCAATTTTCAGTTACTGGTATTAACTTGCATTTGGTGACGCCGGTTGTATGCATAGTTTGCATCTTTTATACGACTCTGGTGTGTATTACTATATTTTCAGTAGATATATCAAAGGTGCGGTAAAAAATACATTAAATAATGTTGTTATGCAATTACCTATCATAAATCTTATATCAGTAAGGGATATAATAAATCCAGGAGCTACCATTAAAAACACCACGAAAGAAGCAATCAGAGGTGCTTCAACGACCAGCGTGGGAGCAGTAATTAATAAAATTGGCAAAAAAGCAGAGAACAATAGGCAAAAGCATAATGTTAAAATTAATGCATGATCGTCTTCGTTTAGAATTTCTCTTCTATTCATTTTAGAACTTCCGTGTAGATATTGTTGGCAACATGTCTTGTAATAAAATGGACTTCGAAAAATGTGCGCTATCTTATTTATTTCATGAATCATTTTGACACTAAAATTTTCATTTTATTTGATTGAATATTTCAGTAGAACCGCCTACTTTAAAACGGAAAAATTTATGTAAATTTGTTATATAAAAGGTCCAAAAAATTTTATGGGGAAAAATGTATTTCAGTTCTGATTGTATGATTAAATATTTTAGGGAGGACTAAAAGCGGTTGTATGGACTGATACTGTACAGACAGTGGTGATGTTTGGTGCATTAATTACAGTAATGATCATGGGAATCGTGAGTGTTGGAGGATTTGAAGAGGTCTGGTCACGTAGCCAAGAAGGTGGTCGGATAGACTTTTTCAAGTAAGCTACAGAAATAAAATTTTCTTTACATACAAAGGTAAAGCAGCACACTTCGCCAATAAAAAGAAATACATTTTAAAATATTTTTTAAAAAAGATTTTTTGCCTATTTTTATAGTTTTCTTATGTCTTAAAGAGTTTTGTCTTGCTATTTGTATTTTATATTGTCAGGGTTAGGTTAATCAAAAAATGGGGGTTTTTTATAAACCAATGAAATGTGAATAGGTAAAAATGCAAGAACATGCGAAACATAAACGATTTAATATTTTATATTTCAATAGTATTGATGGTTGAGTCGATTGACACTTGCTGAAACATGTTGATATACAAAATTCAGAAATTGAAAAAAAAATACTTGGTACTTAGTTTCACAATTAATTTATTAAATAAACTTCTGGCAATTGTTTCGGCAATTAAGCCATTTTCAAAGTACACCATACTCTTTGAAAATGGCACAATTACCGAGACGATTGCCACAGGTTTTTTAATAAATTAATTGTGAAACTAACTACCAGTATTTTTTTTTCAATTTCTGAATTTTATTTTTTAAGCTGTAGTAAAAATTGGACGAATAAAATTGAAAGAAAATTTGTTAGAAAGGCAAAGAAATTTATAAGATCCAATTATAAAATAACTAATAATGTGAATATCACATAACAGCAACCCCGTATAATGTGATCAGCACATAATTATGCTAAGCCACCGTATATATACATAAAATTCACTTATATACCATCGCTTGTTGTATATGCTGCTACTCGACCTGACGCACAATTACATTGTGCATATATGTTATGTTCTAATATTCTTTTATAAGAAATAGATAAACAATAATGCTAATAAAATAAAAAGTTAATAACTCCTGAAAATTTACCTTCTACGGGATTGAAATAGGCTACTACACTCAAAATAATATTATACTGTAACAATGCTTTGCTACTTCCTTGTGGAAGGGTTTATCCTTAATGTTTTACATGATCGGTAAATACTTTACCTTATGTGTATAAACATCTTAATTTTTAAGTTTAGACTGGGATCCGACAATTAGGCACACTTTTTGGACAGTGTTGATTGGTAATTATTTTTCCTGGCTAGCGTCTTGCTCTATAAATCAGGCAATGGTTCAAAGATGCTTAGCAATGCCAACACTGCCATCGGCAAGAGTGTAAGTACACCTCTTTAATTATGTATCTATTATAAAAGACAAACAATTGCGCCATTTATTTCTAATTGCACCACAAACAGTTTAAGTTACGATAAAATTTCGTTTTAGAACGATTTTAATACTTGTGGTTGGAATTGGAGCGTTAGTATCAATGTGTTGTTTCATGGGCCTCATTATATACGCATATTATCACAAATGCGATCCAGTTACCAGAGGTGTGATTGTTAAATCTGACCAACTCTTGCCTTATTTTGTTATGCATATTGCAAGTTTCATGCCAGGATTACCTGGATTGTTTGTAAGTGGAGTCTTTAGTGCTGCGTTGAGGTAAATAAATTATTACTAGAAAAGTTAAATAGTTCACCCGATATTATGTTTTAATCTATAAAAAAGCACCTTCCCACACTTAAACTAATAAAACGAACATCAGATTTCTAATAAAAAATTCACGTAAATTTTATAGCATTTAAAAAAATCATACGGAAGGTTTCAGTTAATAACAATAATTCTTTACTCAATACGTGTGTAAACTTTATTGATCATATTAATTACTTAATCAGGATCATTATCTATTTTTGTTTATAGTTCGATGTCTACTGGCCTTAATTCCATGACAGGTGTGATTTTTGAAGATCTAATTAAGCCGAGATTGAGGAAACCATTGAGCGAAGCTCAAGCTAGCTCTCTTATGAAAGTAATTGTGGTTATCATTGGGACAATTTGTGTAGCTCTTGTTTTTGTAGTCGAAAAAATGGGAGCCCTTATACAAGCCTCTGGTAGCTTATCGGCAATTACTGCCGGTCCTCTTTTAGGAATATTTACACTAGGAATGTTCTTTCCTTTTGCCAATGCTATTGTATGTATATACAAATTAATTTTTCCATCTTATATTGCATTTTTTATTTTTTTAATAGGGCGCTTTAGTTGGGGGTATTTCGAGTGGTGCTTTAATTACATGGATTTCAATAGGAACACAATTAAAGATGGCACAAGGTCAAATAACATTTGCTCAAAAGCCGGTTTCGGTGGAGGGTTGTAATCCGAAATGGATAATGGAATATCTTAGTTTAACTTTATCAGACGATACTACTGCAACACCAGTGGAACCACCTTTTGCTTTATACAGATTATCATACATGTATTACACAGCTTTAGGTGCCATCACCGCAATTTTGATTGGGATAACGGTTAGTTTTGCTACAGGATGCAATAAAGGAAAATGCATAAACACTAAATTATTGTCACCGGTTATAGTGAAGTTTCTAAAAATTGCTAGTAATACAAAGGCCACTGAAAATGGCAGTAGCAGTAACGGATTGCAAATGGATATTATAAGATAATATTANAAATAACACCATTTCAATTTTGAAGTACAGAATAATTTTGAAATTCAGCTATAAATCACAATGAATAGTAAACTTCAAAAAATCTCTAGTATACTTTCATAAAATAAAATAAATAATAAAGACAGATTAGATTATTGGTTGGTAATTTGTTGAAACTACCAGACGTGGACTGTCATTTTGAGTAATTGTAACGTCGATCGATTGTAACGAGATCTAAGTCGGCAAATTTCATTAAATTACAGACATAGAACTTAATCAGTTCTTTTAACTTTGTTTACGTGCTTTCTACGCTTATAAATTGCGCCATCAAATTAGTTGGAAAAGTAGATACCTTACTAAACCTTGTTTAACATTTGAAATACTTCAGTTAACAGCAAATATCAGTAGATGGCGATATACTGCAGCAAATCGATATTATGTCGGTTCAATTTGTAATTATGTTTAAATATATATTTACTTTTCTAGTTATTAGAGGTAATAATCAGTCCTTTATTGACTAGTGAAACGTTTACTTATATTTGAAGCAAATAAACTCGATAATTACTCACTGGACTAAAAATAAAAATTTGCAAATAGGTAAAAATAACAAAATTCTAAATGTTTTAATGCTCAGTATTAACGTTACCACTTATTCATATTTACTATTTTAAGTTTTAAATTGTAATAAGCGCAGCAAAAATTTAATGTACCTACGTGGCAAAAAATTATAGCTTGTCCAACACCAACAGTTCCATATATATTTGTAACAGCGTCATATTTTTGCTGCCTATTAGCACATTTAACATAGTACTGTTGTATATTATCTAAACTCTCTTCTTCACGTTTCAAACGAATAATAAGTGGATTGGGGACAATTATTTCTGCAAATTCCATTACTTCCTGATTATAGGTTGCAGAAAAAAACATCATCTGGCATTTCTGTTGATCTAAGCACCTAAAAAATTCATGTATGTTTTTAAAAGAGTCATTACCACAGTGTTGGTACTGCCATTGAAGTACTCTCATGATAATGTAGTAGGAGCACGTGTCTACATGCTGTGACTGATATTGTAACAATAAAATATTTAGTAATGCTCTAATTACAACTGTTAACTAATTTTACAGATCATGAACAATAGCGAACTGCTTCAAGACCTTAGTGAAATGGCCAAATGATTATTTATGAATAAAACGAGAGCAAGACATTTACATTTGGGAGATTTTTAAACTACTTTATGGAAGCAATGAAGTACATTTTTTAATTAAATGAGAAAGAAAACAACTCGAAATGAATTGTGTTACTACTACAATAAATGAAAAAAAAACAGTTCAAACAATTCTATCCTAGCAACGATTACAAAAATATCCCCTAAAAAGCAATTACAAAAAGATAAATAATTTTACTTGTGTATTCTTATGCATTGATCTTGGTGTCCTTGTGTTGCAATCATAACATCAGCTTCGTCCAATACAAAGACAGTAATTTTACTTAAATCAAAGAAACGATACTTGATAGCCCAATCCATAACTTTACCGGGAGTTCCAATAATAATATGTTCAGTTAATTTGCTTCCCCTTGGAACTAGAATTAATGTAAGTACACTTATTTCTTAATATATTTGTAAATTTTTACCTTCCTCCCCTCGAACTGCAAGGAATAATTCATAATAAACAGATTAATAAAACCGCAAAGTATTGAGTTGTATGAAAGGACGTGCAATAAAAGAACACATTCAAAAATGACAAGCATTTTGAATTTCTTTAAATTGAAAAAGTAGTATACAACACAAAAAAAATTTGATGATAATCTTCATATTATTTTATCATCAATATACAATTGATAATTTATCCTTGGACTTAATAACTTATTTATAAAATGCCCGAGCTTTTAAGAACCTATTTTTTCTATTTCATCTGAGTCCTCGGCATTTAAATACTTGATTTTTTTATTAAAATGTTTTTCTATTGTTTCGCAAACTGCCATAGATTCTGGAGAATCAATTAAATTAATAGCAATTCCTCGCTTACCAAATCGACCCGTGCGACCAATCCGATGAAGGTAAGTTTCACAGTCAGCTTTTCCATTGGCATCCACTGGCAAATCGAAATTTACTACAATCGTTACTTGCTCCACATCAATGCCTACCATGAAAAATAAACTATTTTTTGATATACCGATAAAATACGCATACAATTTAATATGTGAAAAAATTAAACTTTTAATCGATAATATTAAAGAATATATATTAATTAATGCATACTATACTAAACTATTGCAAGGAAATGATAAATTATAAATTAAGTTTAAAGCGCCTTACCCCGTGATAAAACATTTGTAGTTATTAGTACTTTTTCTTGTCCACTTCTAAATCTATCAAGTACCGCAAGCCGCTGTTCCACAGTTAAATCTCCTGTTAATAATGCTACAGCATGTCCTTCCTGTGCCATTTTTTCGGCTAACCAATGCGCAGTTTTTCTTGTCTATAAATAACACCATTTCAATTTTGAAGTACAGAATAATTTTGAAATTCAGCTATAAATCACAATGAATAGTAAACTTCAAAAAATCTCTAGTATACTTTCATAAAATAAAATAAATAATAAAGACAGATTAGATTATTGGTTGGTAATTTGTTGAAACTACCAGACNGGCTTTCATTAAATGAAGGGAAGAAAACACAACATACATAAAAAATAATTTTACAAATACGCCAGATATCAATGGATTAGGAAAAAATTAGCTGATATGTACATAAATCAGAATACAAATATAACAGTTTTTTGAACTACAGACTTATTAGCATTTCTGATACCTAACAGCTCTATCATACTGTCTATCTACATGGTGATTTCTGTAAACTATTTTCCAGTTTTATGTCGCTAGTAACGACTTAAAAATAAACGCGACCCACACATGTTAATCGGCAAGGTGATTGGGGATTCCCGTGTGACCATGATATAATATAAAATAACAACTTACTTGAGGATAATTTTTTAATGGATCAACCCTAGTTAGCATTGCCAACACAAAAGCAGCCGTTTTTCCAGTTCCTGATTGTGATTGTGCTATTAAGTTTTGTGGTGGATCAGCCAATAAGGTTGGTAATGCTGTCTCTTGGATTTTAGATGGTGCATTAAACCCCATTTCATAAACACCTTTTAATAGATTAGGTTTCCTAGACATGGAAATTGTTGCATTTAATTTAATGAAAGTTGTTAACAGTGTCATACATACAAATGTAGTGCTTCAAATGTTTTCACTGAGTGTAAAGGAGAATTTGGATCCTGTCTTTGAATTTCAATGTCATTTTTATTTTCAACCAGACCTCTTCTTATTATTTTTTCCAATAAACTGGCTTCTGCTGGACTGAACTGATCAGGAACATCTTCTGAAACATCCTCTGGCTTTTTTTCAGGGTTTTCATTGGAATTTGATATTTCTATATTTTCTATCTGTAATAACAAAAAACAATAAATATGTCAAACTAAAGTGTAAATTTACCTTTTTCACAACCTTTTTTTCTTGCTCTTCAACGTACTTAGCCCAATCTACTTTTGATGACATTTTTCTTAAGGCAAAAAAGCCTTTATCAAATAAAACTGCAATGTAATGGAATAAAATATTAAAATAAATTTTTACTCCTCTGCACACTCGACTTACAATTAAAGAGAAGCAATGGTTGTGTGATGAATATTCTGCTTCCTTAATTTAGACTTCTTCTGATACTATAATAACCTTCCGAAGACTAACTGAAAAGACAGCGGTCAAAAAGTTAGGTTATTCTTATCCATAGATTATTTCTATCGAAACTACATGTTAAGATAGTAGTTACAAACACGCAAACGGGTTCGACTTTACGTAATACGTTACAAATGCCAAGCTACTTTAAAATATTTTTTAAAAAAGATTTTTTGCCTATTTTTATAGTTTTCTTATGTCTTAAAGAGTTTTGTCTTGCTATTTGTATTTTATATTGTCANACACTCGACTTACAATTAAAGAGAAGCAATGGTTGTGTGATGAATATTCTGCTTCCTTAATTTAGACTTCTTCTGATACTATAATAACCTTCCGAAGACTAACTGAAAAGACAGCGGTCAAAAAGTTAGGTTATTCTTATCCATAGATTATTTCTATCGAAACTACATGTTAAGATAGTAGTTACAAACACGCAAACGGGTTCGACTTTACGTAATACGTTACAAATGCCAAGCTACAATCTGACATATAAGTACGACTAATTGTTAACCAACTGCGAATAGCCCATGGGCTAAGCAATTAAGAACGCGACGCTCTTTTCGTTGGAGGAGAGCTTTATCATTATCTCTTTCATATATGTAATCACTTGTATTTGGTTATAGTGTGAAATTGTTTTTCGGTTAGTAAACTGTACGTATTTGAAATTCACAGCACTCATCATCAGTGTTATCCAATTAAGAATTAAAAGTGGTAATATAACTATTAATTTATTAATATAAATCAACTTTTACTTTTTCGTGTTTTATTCCCATCACACATTTATACTGGTAGACAGGCACTTCCACCGACCTACAACTCTACTACAAAGCCGAAGGATAGAGCGGAAGACCCTCTTCGAAATTCTTTTACCTTGTCCTACGTACCTTATCCGTTGAACATCACTGTGCTAGAATTTACCTAAATGATCTAAGTACTTTAAGTTATTTGTAATGACCAAACGATCAATCTATTATATTCTGCTTACAATGCAGTTAATCTACATGTTCACTAACTAAAATACTGACACCAATGGATTGAAAGTAAAGATTAATCAAAACGTCTGCGAATAAGTTTACAACAGAGCAATAGAGTTCAAAAACCTTACAGAGATTTGACCAACATATAAAATTTCTGCTATATTTATCATTATATCACAAACAATTACAAAACATACTTTTATTTTACAAGTAATATACAGTCCCAGTGGCTTACAAATAAATTGTAGTCATTAAAATTACACGTGACTTACATAAATTATAATGAACACATCAATTTACGATCTAAAAGAAAAGAAACATTTACAATATACTATCACAGATTAAATCCAACATTTAACCACTCATACATTTAATAATCAAAAATCCATTTCATCTTTAGGTCTAACATATTTTTCACCAAATTTTGCCATGTATTTCCTTACGAACTCTTTAGCTTTATTTTTTACACTGTCAGTACATGTAAGATCTTCTATACTTTTGCAATGTTTAAGTTCTTTCAACATGACAAAATGCGTAAGCTGCAACAATAATTTTATTTCAACAATTCATTTTATTTGTAAACTGTTAACTAAACATCCATAGGTGTTTTAGATGAATTTAACCTGCAAGACGCTCTCCAGATTTTTTAATTAAAAACTGAAATTATCGGCATGAACTCTTTTTGTTTCAAAAGTTTAATAACAGATACTCGATAGTATGCATCAGCATGCCAACATAACACAGAACAACCTACCTACTACCATTAAGCAACTGTAGATAAGTAAGTTACATAGCAAGTAAATTAGTTTTTTTGTCGGAGCTGTCTATAGCAAGCTAATGATAACCAAGCAGTTTGAGAAAAAACATTTTTTCAATACAACTCAAGGGATGTATTTTCTTAATATTTTTTGATATTAGGTAACTTTTTTAGGAATAATAACCTTGTTTTGAAACATTTAGGCAACCTGGCAGAGAAAATTGAATTTCATACAAAACAATATTTGTTGAAATTGTAGTGAAACTGGAAATATTAAAATAATGAAAATTGTCTAAATTAAATTGAATGTAATTTAGTTGTAGAGCATAATTGATGTTATCTACTTTTACTTGATGAAATTCGATATTATACACAAATAAAAACCTATAACGAATTTCACATATTCTTTTTGAAATTACTATACCATTATCTAAAAAAAAAAGTGTAGGTAGTAGGAGATACTTTACCTTTCGTGCTAAGTGTTTGAAGTCTTCATTATTACTAATATGTCCTTCTTTACAATCTGGTTTACGAAAGGGATTCAAAATATTGACCATAACACTAGCCATGCTGGAGCGGAAGTTTTCCTTTATTTTTTTGGCAGTTTCATTGTCAACTTCGGTAAGTTTTTCCTTTTCTTTATGCTTTTTATGTTTTGGACTTTTAACAGTGACTCTGATTCGTTTTTTCGGTTGTTCCCCGGCAGTTTCTTTCGATTGCTTGGCTTTTTTAAGCAAAACTTCTTTTTGACGTTTTAACTTTTCTTTATTGTCTTTGTATTTTTTGAGATTTTCTTTTGCAAGTATTTTATCTTCTTCCGTTCTAGGCTGTAAAAAAAAGATATAATTAAAAGAAAATTGATAATATATGATAATGTTATGGGGTTTTGCGCTTTTAAGATTTTTGAATATTTAGCAGTAATACTAATAAATTACCTACTGATTACAGTGATTTTTAATATTAAATTTCTTCATACCATCTGACCTTTTTAGTAAGAGGATTTTGTACTTTTTGTGATCCGATTTGTAATATAATCATGTTATCTTATGGGATAAAACAAACTTACACTTATTATATGTATTTCTGTAACTAATCCACTGCGTCTGCGTTTTACGGGTGGTTCTTTATCTTTTTCATTTTTCAAAAAATTAAATTCCACCTTAAGCCTCTCCTCTAGAGAAGGTTTCTTCTCAGACTGAAAAGGATCATTCACTTTTTGTTGAATATCATCCTTGGAGTTACTATCGTCTTGTTCTGATATCAACTTTGTTTCCATGTTTTTTAAATTCTTTTTTATTTCAATCATTAATTTTGTATCATCTACTTCATCTTCATCACTGTCACTCTCTTCACAACTTGATTCTGAACTTAAACTACTGGAGTCTGAAGATGATGTGGTTTCAGAAGCTAAAAATTATACATTAATTACTTATAAACAGAACAAGGAATCATTAATTAATGTATTATTTACTCTACTCTACTCTACTCTATAAAAAATATGTCGCAGGAAGTCTAGTCTAACCATTTTTAAACAAGGCTACGCAACTAAGAAAATAGTGTTTTCATCAGAGATTAATTAAATGTTTCTATTATTCATTTTTACT